ACCCCAGTTTTTCTTTGTGGATTCCAATAGCCCTTGTAAAGATCTATTTTTTTCCGCGTGGTCCCAATCTGGCAAAACCTTTGCTTTTAGTAGGCACCGTCCTTAAATAACTTAACTCGCCCCAGACCACAACGCTTTGCGACTTCAACTGACAGCCAGGCGACCAGAAATACCCAGCGCTCGCACAGCAAAAACGTCTACGATGCAGGCTACACTTAAATAAAATGTTCTAGTGGTCACCTCTCAAAGCTACACTGTCCGCCTAGATTTATCACGATTGCCTCAGATTTTTTAACACCTTGAGTCAGTCGATAAACCGTCCAAAAGCTACAATAAAATAGTCTGTGCATGAAAAAAATCATGGTTTTTGTAGTCTCGATGGTCGGAAAATCCAGGCCAGTTTGCACTTACTGAAAGCTGTAAACAAAATTGCACAGTGTTAGTTTTCATTTCAAGTTAAAATAGGTTAATTACTCTCGTTGAATGCAATGGCCAAATTGCATTCTCTGGTTAGTTATCACCATCTAATGCAGTACATTACCAAGTTGAATGATGACAAGTTTCAATGATCGTCCTCTAGGCTCTGTGAAAATAATTAGTGGTTTGTTGTTCCACTGATATTAACCAGGCATACTTTTCAATGGACTGCCATCATCTCTTTGGTAATTTACTAAATTAGCAAATGATTATTATGACGAGTGAAAATAATCTCCAAAACCGAAATAAGTTATTTTGTTTTTAGACTGGTTTACATAGAGCCCCTTTAAAATTGATAACTTTTGAATAGGATTACGTTGGGGCACAGGAGTTCGTCGTGTTCACTAGCTGTATATAGATAGGTATTACTTCACGTTACACCAAGGTGATAACCTGGAGTATTACGATAAAATTAAGCTTTTACCTGAAAGAAAAGAAGATCCCCATTGCCAAGATGAGGAAGGAAACTGCTGTGTAACTTCCTGAAATAAAAAAAAACATAGATTATGAGTTAACCCATATGATAAACAACGGACTTGTTATACGGTACATAACCACATGTTAAAGCTGGCGTTGCCTCACGAATGGTGCATCTAAAGAAGCAAACATTTTTCANTTTTTTTTTTTTTTTACGTTCGACGTAGTCCTCTCACAATAGCATCAAACTTACAATGAACAATTTTAAGTTACAAATTCTACTAAACCATGCTTGGAGCTAGAAGTATAAAGGATCTAGACTGCACACGGCTGACAGGGAAATTCGCGGAGATGCACTGTCTTGATAGTCTCTGGAAAATCCAAGCCGGTCAGTACTCACTGAAAGCTGATAGTGAAGTAAGAAAATAAGCAAGGTTACTTTTGATTTTAAATAATTATGCAGTTAGTAAAATACCCTCCGTACTCCGAATAAAGCCTACTTAACTAGCGGGGATTGGGGGCAGCCTGAGGGGCACAAAGTTTCCCCGCTGATTTCAATCTCCTCCTACAAAAACAAAATTTAAGCTATAGCGGTCAACTATTATCAGGAAACATTTTGTTGCCGGCGTCAATTGTGTCCCGTGACGTGGCGTTTCTATGACAAACATGTGTTTAAAGAGTGTTTTACCCCACAAAATCGCCATGAGCTATTTTATTTTGCCCATATCCAGCATCAGTAACGTTTGAATAGACTTCATGGAAACTGACTGATTATATTAAATACTAATAAAAATTATTAGGTTGGGGTTTCCTCATGTTAAGTTTACTGTATATATAAGAAAAGAAGAAAGAAAAATGAAAACACTTTTACCTGAAAGAAAAGAAGATCCCCATTGCCAAGATGAGGAAGGAAACTGTTGTGTAACTTCCTGAAATAAGAAGAAACATAGATTATGAGTTAACCCATATGATAAACAACGGACTTGTTATACGGTACATAACCACATGTTAAAGCTGGCGTTGCCTCACGAATGGTGCATCTAGAGAAGCAAACATTTTTCAAGTTTATGTTCGTATAGGAAAATCACAAACCGGCAACATATGAGAGGAACAATAATTTCGCTCCATGCATTTTAGACTGGCTTGTATTGCAGACGGCCCTTCTGCGGCACATTTCGTTTGCAACGTTACAGCAACCTAACATATGATGCTTTATTCCTACCCGCACAATAGGTCACACAGTCCTTTGTCATTTTC